TAAACTTTGAGTACCTCTAATCCGACATCTGAACGGACATACAGCCGTGATTCTGGATTGTTCAACAGGTATAGTAAAGTGGCCATCAAAGATTCATTGAATCTTTGCATCTGCAAAGAAAAATCCATTATCAGAGCTACACTTTGTATAACATATAGTCAGTACTCGAGCCAAGCGACCCACCCACCAAGAGCTTCTTCCGTTTTCCTTACCATGGAGCAACTTACAGTATTAAACTACTCCCCCCCCCCCCCCCCCCCCCGGATGTAATGCTCGTTCGTCAATTTATCAGGGGAGCCTGATGAAATACTGGGGGGTAACCTTGCTATGGACCACCATCTTAACCAAGGGGGAGTAGTGATACTCCTTGTTGCTTCATGGCATGAAAACTGGAATAAACTCCTGTTGGAATGGCCACTCATCTTGAGTGCAAACTTTACCTTTTCATGCCACTAACTTCACTTCAGGATTCACTGTCTCTTAACACATTTACCAAGTGAGCATCAGTTGATAAGCAACACAACCATACCTGTGAATCCAGTACATTTCTTATGATAGTATTGATCCCACCACAATATGATGCCATCTGAATACTTTTTATAGCTGTAAAACAGAAATCACCAATCACAGTCACTACAGGTTTACAATGTATTTGATAAAGCACATGTGCAGTGTGTTAGACATAACTATCATAATTTTTTCAATTGCACTGAAACTAATATATAGATTTAGCCAAGCCTAAAAGTGGAGCTTGCATTTTTTTCCCGCACGTCTCAAGGGCACAACACCTTGCCCCAGCTAAGACTAGAACCTGGGTCGTCCGACTCGGAGCCCAGTGCACTGACCACTGGACTACTGAACAAAGCCGTGGCATTGGCGTGCTTGTGGTACAGTTGACCATGCATGTTAAAAATAGCACCTTGTGCGGTCATACGGTTGTACAACCAAATTTTTTCAGCTTAATGGGTTACTGCTAATTGTATAATTATGGGGCTACACTCTACGAGCTCCGCTATAATAAAAGTTCTGCTGACCATTTGACCCCTA